GAGAGAGAGAGAGAGAGAGAAAGAGAGAGAGAGAGAGGAAGGGAGACGGGTTGGTGTAGAAACAAGCAAACGGAATGACAGACGGACAGAGTCCATGAAACCGTTAACGCTATTGATCGAAGAGTGGAGGCTCGGCATTGATGTTCTTTTCGTTCGAGTCAACAAACTGAGTTCAAGACATCATATTTAGGATTCGAACCGAGGCTATCAGCATCATAGTCCAGGTTGGTGCTAACTATCCTGTTAACTAATTAGATAGATAGATAGATAGACAGCAGACGAATTAGAAAAATACAAGTACAACCAGTTGCTTTGACCCCTCTGTGCTCGCTCACCCTAAAAATTGACCTCAGAGACAAAAAAGACGTACGTGCATATTTTTTTTTTTTGCGGGAAAGTTCCCAGCATTAGCTGTCTCAAGATGGTTGATAGTGTGTTATCGGTGCCGGTAGCAGCTCTAAGGGAAACCGCTCTCTGTGAGAGACACTCTGTAAGTGAACTCGTGAACATTTCCGGGGCTTCAAGAATGTAGGCCACAGAAGGATCATCATGTTTACCTCCCTTAGTGCAGGCAATCAACACTTAAGCGAGCTGAGTGAGCAGAGTACTGAAGATGGGGGCGGATAACCCTGCTTCGAACCCCCGTCACCTGCGTTTTTTTATGTTACATTTCAGGGGTTTAAATTGGGGGGGGGGGTGATTTGATTTCTTGTTTCGTTTTTTGCTTTGTGTTTAGGGGGTCTTTTGTTGTTGCTTTTTGTTGTTCTTTGTTTTTGTTTTTGGGTTTTTGGGTCCGTGTTATTTTTTGGGTGGTTTTTTTTCTTAATTTTCTCTTTACCTTTCTCTTTCCAATCGTATGATGCCTACGAGCAAAGAATGCGCAGCGGATTTAGTCTCGGTGTTTTTGACCAAATATTGCTAGTCTGATTCCTTAGCAGAGAAGTCTATTTTATTCTCTGTCTTTCTTATGGGGTACTACATCCCTCTCAGTCTCTAATTGAGTCCTACAGGTAGGCATATTATCAAAGCAGCATTTCTCCTAAAAATACTTAAACTTTGTTGATGGGGTTGGGGGGGGGTGTGTATATGTTTCATACTACCGGGTATTTAGAATCAATCACTCGAATCCCATCAGTATGTCCTTTTTCTAGGAGTTTCCTAAGTATCCCGCCCCATACGCACACACACACACACACACACACACACACACACACACACACACACACACACCGATCTGTCTTACGGAACACGGAAACATTGAAATACCATTCCGTGTTTCAAGTGGGTTGGGAGGGGGAGGGCTCTAAATATGTACTTGATCATACTACGCCACTCTGAACAGTGTTACACTGTACTGTACATTTGCTCTGCTCTCAATGCCAATATTTTATTATGTTGTCCACGCAGATATACTCCTCTTTGCTTACACGAAAAAAAAAATGGAAAATGAAAGACATTCGCCTAACTCTACTGGAATGGAGTAATAAATCGGGAGAGATGCAAAAAATTAAAAGGTATAGATATAGAGATTGATTCTCTATTCCGCTTTCGTAGTTGTACACTCCAGAATTTCAGTGTGCATGGCTAATGAACGGAAACCTCACTTATTTACAATGGCGTCTTTGAATACGGACTTTAATGAAAACTGAAAATTAAACTACACTTACTTCAGTCTCCTCAGTAAAACTATGTACCCTTTAAATGTTTCTGAACCACATTAATTTTGTCAAATTCGAAAGTTAAGTGGTTCGAAAGTTTTAAGCTGCCGACGTGACGAACTTTCACAAATATACTGAGTATAGAGTATAGATAATCAGGAGCGTCATCTATGCATCTGTGCACACCATTAAGAATGATCAAAGATGCACCGATGGCCTTGTTCGTATCATGCTCAACTATGGTGGATATCCCCCTGGTTCTATCCCCTAACACAAGTGGTAGATAGATCGTGAGATAGATCGACAGACAGACAGACAAACAGACATACAGACAAACAGACAGACAGACAGACAGACAGACAGACAGACAGACAGACAGACAGACAGACAGACAGACAGACAGACAGACAGACAGACAGGCAGACAGACATACTGACCGACGGGTGGATAGACATACTGTCAGATAGATAGATAGATAGATAGATAGATAGATAGATAGATAGATAGATAGATAGATAGATAGATAGATAGATAGATAGATAGATAGATAACACAAGATTCTACTCTGTAAGTAAAGTAAAACGGGATTCCCTGCTATCTTCTTGGTCGGCTTCTAAATGGTCTGTGAAGTGGTCAGACGATTCCAAAGTGGCTAGCGGTAACACACTCACCTTTTTTTTATTTGTAATCTAGTTTCGATGTTCTTACAGTCCCAGCCCGTGTGTTGGATTCAGTACTCCGACCTTTAAAGTCAGACGTCCCTGGGGGCTTTTGGGTTCTAAGGATTTGCCACCTACCAGGCATAACGTCAGCGACTAAAACCTTGTCTCCCTCTTTCTCCAATTTCTCACAGCATTTTTTAACGTACAACGATCCTTTTTCAGCTATGTATGTAGTTCTCTCTGTTTCTCTTTCTCTCCGTCTCTGTCTCCCTGCCTGTCTGTATGTCGGTATGTCTGTCTGTCTCTCTGTCTCTCTGTCTGTCTGTTTTGTCTGGCTGTCTATATGTCAGTCTCTCTCTCTCTCTCTCTCTCTCTCTCTCTCTCTCTCTTTTTTTTTTCCTCTCTCTCTCTCATTCTCTCTCTCTCTCTGTCTCACACATACACACACACACACACACACACACACACACACACACACACACACACACACATACACGCACACATACACACACAAAAAAAACACTCACACTCTTTTTCCATGCCTCTCTCGTTTTTTTTTCCGCTTCCCTCTTTTTCTTTTTTGTGTTTGTGTGTCTGTATGTTTGTCTGTCTCTACCTCCCTGTCTGTCTGTCTGTCTGTCTGCCTATCTGTTTATCTGTAGCTCTCCTGTTTCGTCCTCCTCGTGTCTCCATCTTTCATCATTCTTTATTTCCCTCTCACTATCTCAGACTACTCCTCTCTCTGTCTCTCTCTCTCTCTCTGTCTCTCTCTCTCTCTCTCTCTCTCTCTCTCTCTCCCTCTTTCCCTCTCTCTCTCTCCCTCTCTCTCTCTCTCTCTCTCTTTCTCTCTCTCTCTCTCTCTCTCTCTATCTCTACATGCCATGAATATATATCTCTCCCTATATCTCTAGAATTCTTTCGAGATATACAAATATCAGACATACAGACTGGAGAGAAGCACTGCCTATAAATCTGGCTCAGATGTGGATCACTCGGGGCTAAAGAGCATTATGCGAGTGAATGA